CATCTTAAGTTGGCCTAGCAAAATATGATTTAGAAATATTCTGTGCACATTTGAAAAGAAGACACCCCTCTTCACCTTAGGGCCTGCACCATCTCTACAGCTTATGGCAAGGGTGGTGTCTTTGACAAATGACATCAAACTTCTGACTCAGAGCTCCTTTGGTTTCACATCCCAACTCTTCACCAATATATTTTACAAATCTTAAAAAAATCATAGTAGAAAAGATTATCTTACCTAATTTCAGTCTGCAGTCCTTGGATTGCTGTTAAAGTCCATGCTGTTTATTGGGCCCTATGTAATTCTTTTGAAAATCAATTGTCCATATTATTCTCTATTTAAAAAACTTGAGTGTGTGTATATATCTATTACTAATTCTAATGAGTTTTAATAGTTCATATTAAGGACATTAACCTTTAATCCAATGATGGTATATTATAAATATGCACTTTCAATTTGTTTTTAGTTTCTCTAAGTATTTCAAAAGCATACCAAAATTCATTTGAAATATGATCACATGTCTCATCCTTCATAACTTCTTTTGGTGTCATGTAATGCACTAAGATACATTATACCAGGTGCTATGAGGATGACCAGTTACTCACTGGGAACTCTAAATATAACTCACAACCTAAAATCTACCTATTGTGAGAGACTTTGTTTTATGTACAAAATGCTTAAAATATCACATGAAATTACCATTTAGCTGTATGCATAAGGTGTATACGGCACACAAATGAATTCCATGTTTAAGATTGGGTTCCATTATCAAAATATATGTATTCCAAAACCTGAAAACACAAAAATCTTGAGCAATGGTGGTCCCAGACATCATTTTGGAAGAATTCTATGTATGTATGTATGTATTTGTATGTATGTATGTATGTATGTATGTATTTGTATGTATGTATGTATGTATTTGTATGTATGTATGTATGTATATATGTATCTATCTATCTATCCATCCATCCACATACCTACCTACCTACCTACCTATCATTAAGTTGTTCTGAGAAATTGATCCAGATTCTGAAATTACTCAAAGTTACTCAAGAACCAAAATGAAGAAGCATCTGAGGGGAAGAGAAAGAGGTAACAAGGAGTTAAGAGACCAGGATTCTAGTCTCAATTCCTTGTTAACTGGGTTAGTATAGGAGGACAAGCTACTTCTCCCTCAGGTTTATTTTTGGGTGAACAGAAGAATGAGGACAGAAAGGGAACTATATAGGCATCAACAAGAATAGGTGCTATAGGGGTTGGGGATTTAGCTCAGCCAGCAGAGCACTTGCCTAGCAAGCACAAGGCCCTGGGTTTGGTCCCCAGCTCCGGAAAAAAAAAAGAGTAGGTGCTATAGTAGGCTGTCTGAGTGACAAACTGGTGGCTTGTAGCAATTGCATAAAGGACAGAGAAGCTACCCTAAATCCCACCACCATAATTCACCATACCACTTTTAAGCTTGGAGGGCAACAGAGCTCTTTTTGTTCAAAGTCCTTGCCTCCTCTTTGTCATAATGATCGCGCATTAGCTTTCACATGAACAGCCAGACATTTGTCCAAGAGCACCATGCATGCATTCTAGCTTTCCCACCTCCTTGTCCGGTGAGGATCTTCTTATCCTTTTTTTTTTTTTTTTGGTTTTTCGAGACAGGGTTTCTCTGTGTAGCTTTGCGCCTTTCCTGGAACTCACTTGGTAGTCCAGGCTGGCCTCGAATTCACAGAGATCCGCCTGGCTCTGCCTCCCGAGTGCTGGGATTAAAGGCGTGCGCCACCACTGCCCGGCTTCTTATCCTTTTTAAATGTTAGGCATTTTACTGAATGCACAGTAAAATGTGGTTGGCAGAATCTCTGGTCCCCTAATGAATAATGATGTTGAACATTTTTTTTTTGGTAGAATTTTGGATGTCTTCTTGAATGATATACCCATTTAATTCTCATGTCCATTTAAAAATAGGACTGCTTTTACTTATTAGTTTTCAGGACATATGGATTGTAAATTAGAATAATTGAAGTTGTAAACCAGGAAAGAATTTAATCAAAATTATTTCATGTATTACCAAGTCACGTTCATTTTTGGAAAAGGCTAATCACTGTTAGTCTGGTCAGTTTTACTTCTGGGGTGGAAAAAGATAGTGCATGTTAGCAGAAAATATTATTTTAGGACTAGAATAAAGGAAGTGTTCAAACAAGCAAAATGACAGTCCTATAGCATTTATCGTCTTTGCATAAGTATTTTTTCTTTTAACAACTGGACCCCTATATGCCTTTGTGTCATGATTCACAGCAGGATCTGCTGGGAAGTGGTTGATAACTCTATTTGTGGTAGTTAGAGCAGGTTGTCACTGTGAGTCAAAGGATACAGGCCAAGAACTTACCCGCTTCCTTTCCCAACTGTCTGAGCATAGAGACCAGAAAGGACTTCCTTGGCCTAGCACATGGTTAATTTAAAAATATAGTTTTATTAAACCTTTGACAACTTCATACAATGTGTATTCATTCTATCCAACCCTACGCCTCCCCTTAGCACCTCCAGACCTGTATTCACATCCTTGCCTGTTCTCTACAGCTTCCTGTCCTTTTTTTGTTGTTGTTACTCATTAACTCTAATTCATGCTAACCATTTACTCCTAGATGTGGAGCCATCCACCAGAGTGTGGTTCATTCATCAGGGTCCACACCCTTAATGAAAGATGACTAGTCCTTCCAGAGAAGTCACAGAGTGTCTATAGCTCCCCAGTCAGGTGTGGAGGCTTGTGAACTCTTTCCACTGTGTGCTAGAATGGTGACTGGCTTGATCTCTTGAGGGTCTTACACAGGCAACCACAGTTGTTGAGTTCATGAGTTCCATGTCCCTGTAATGTATCAGAGGATACTGTTTGCCTCTGGTCCTCCCCAACCTCAGGTTCTTATCATCTTTCCATCCCCTTTTCTATCGTGGTCCCTGAAGCCTTGGGTAGAGGGTGTGATATAGAGTTTCCATTTGTGGCCGAGCACCCACTGTCTTGTGCTCTCTGCACTTTAACCAGGTCTGTGCTTTTTATTAACTGCCGTCCACTGCACAAAAAAAGAATCCTCTGATGAGGTCTGAGAGCTTCCCTGATCTACAGGAAGAGAGAGACAAATTTAGAGGCACTTTGGTACTTCGTCTGTTTAATGGACTAACAGCAGGAGGTTAAATCTGGAGCCTGCGTGTAGCTAAAAGTTTTTCTGGTCCCGCCTGACTTGGACAGGACAAATCTCTCCCACTCTTGTCCCCCAAGTAAACACACGGAGGCTTATATTAATTAAAACTGCTTGGCCATTAGCTCAGGTCTACCACTGACTAAACTCAGCCCATTTTTGTTAATCTACCTGTGTGCCATTACATACTGCTCTCTGGACAGTGGACTGGCATCTCCTCACTCAGTCTCCTCTTCCCAGAATTCTCCTTGTCTGCTTATCCCGCCTATACATCCTTCCTGGCTACTGGCCAATCAGCATTTTATTAAACCTGTGTACAAAAGCATTATCCCACAGCACCTGAGAGCTCCCCAACCATGGGTTCTTGGTCAGGTTTACAGTACCAGACATGCCTTTATTCCTACGGAGTGTACCTTAAGCCCAATCAAGCAGTAGCCGGTTGTCGATTGATTTCCTCTTTCTTCCACGGGTTTAATTCTGGTTATCAGGGTTGTCAGCAAGAGCCTCTATGGGCTGAACCATCTCACAAACCTTATCGTTGAGAATTTATCTGCCTACCTTGTAGAGAGAAAAAAAAATGTGATCATAAATACTTTGTTGAAAAGGTTTTTATTTTTATTTTTGAGACAACTAATCCCCACAAGTTGTCCTCTAACCACTATGCATACACTGTGACAATGCATGTGCACACACACACACACACACACACACACACATATGCACACACACTCTCACACACACAAATTTAAAAACAAAACAGAAAAGTGTGCTGACAGTTCCTATTCATAGCAGTATGGTGAGAATGTGGTTTTTTAGGTTAAGGGCAGTAAAAGGTAAAGACTCTGGATGACAAGGTAGACAATAAGAAGAACTAGTCATATTTCTCAGTAAAGTATATTAGATACTAGCATTTGGAAACTTAGAAAATAGTCTTCTTTGTCATCATTTTAATGAATATGAGCTATGTGCTCAATAATATGAATGAATGAAAGGACCTAATGCCAATTTCTGGCAAGGAAAGACAACCACACTATAGCAATTTAACTGAAGGTGCTGGGTAGATTTTTGTCAACTTGACACAAATCTAGACATATCTGGGGAAAGGGGATCTCAACTGAGGAACTGCCTCCATCAGACTGGCCTGTGAGTAATGCATATAGAAAGGCTCAGTCTGGAAAGGTGGATGGGTAGAAGGTAGCAGAACATTCCAGGGAAAGCAAGCCAATAGTCAGCATTCCTCCATGGTCTCTGCTTCAATTCCTGCCTCCAGGCTCTTGTCTTGAGCCCCTGTCCTGACTTTTCTCCATGACGGATTGTAAACTATAAGCTGAAACAAACCATGGTATGTGGATCCATCACCAGGTTGCTCTGGGGCAGTGTTTTATCACAGCAGCAGAAAGCTAACCTGCACTGACTCTAAAAGGAGGCATACAGCAAGGTTTTAGGATACAAAGGATAGTCAGTGAGAAAAGGGGGGGGGTGACATTCAGATCAAGGCCACAAAGTGCAGCTTGGAAAGCCTTTACCTGCTAGGCCCATAAGCTGAGCCTTAAGGATGGAGAGGGGGGAGAGGTCTAAGAGAGGCCGAGTTTGAAAAGGGCATTCAGAGAATATGACCAACTCAAGCAAACAGCAACAGGTAAGACATATAATGGTGTCCCAAGAAGTCATCACTTTGGGAGGATTTATGTCGAGTCAACAGAGATTGTCACAAAACACTTTAAAAGTCAACTCCAAGAAAGTATGAATCTGTTCTGTTAATCAGAAAATACAGGTCACAAGTAGTTCTGCCTACCCCAGCTTCTCATCTCTGTCTTGCCGTTACAGGGAAGCATGTTTAGCACCTGGAAACCCATGTGGGTTGTACTGCTAGAAGACGGAATTGAGTTTTATAAGAAGAAAAGCGACAACAGCCCCAAGGGAATGATCCCCCTGAAAGGAAGTACTCTCACCAGCCCCTGTCAGGACTTTGGCAAAAGGATGGTGAGTTGACATCACTAGTCACAATAACCACCATGTCACCTGCTGACCTTGAATGCCCTTTCCAAATTCTACCTCTCCTAGCTCTTTCCTCCTCTCTCCATCCTCAAGGCTCAGTTTATGGGCCTAGCTGTGCCACCTGCTTACTTCAAAGTCTATCTACATCTTAGCAGTGCGTTCCGAACAATTGTCCCCTCTTGTCAACATCCATATTTTACCCCGGCCTTGGACTCTCTCTTTGTTGGAACAAGTTCTTATCAACCGCTATGTTCCACGGGGGGCCTTGAAAGGGACCATGTCTAATGGGATATCTTTTGATTTTCAGTTTGTATTGAAGATCACTACAACCAAACAGCAGGACCACTTCTTCCAGGCAGCCTTCCTGGAGGAGAGAGATGCTTGGGTTCGGGACATCAAGAAAGCCATTAAATGCATTGAAGGAGGCCAGAAGTTTGCAAGAAAATCCACACGGAGGTCCATTCGTCTGCCAGAAACTGTTGACTTGGGGTAATTTTCTGAGTTTTGCTTCCCTCCACCCTTTGATTTTCCTTTCCTCTTTGATCTGACAAACACTGCTTCAAAGCTTGCTTTGGGCGTCTTTGATGACAGCATCTCCAGTGCCTCGTAGCTGAGAAGAAAGGCTTGTGGTGTATGGAGAGGAGAGAAGAGAGACAGAGGTGAGAAAGGAGAGAGGAGAGAGAGAAGACAAAAATGTGAGAGAAAGAATGGAGGAGAGATAAGAAAGAGGAAAGAGGAGAGAGAATGGCATAGAGGAAGAGGAGAGGATGAAGAAAAGTGATAGGGTAATAGAGCGATTGTTTTATCTATGAAGTAGCCATCTAAAGTTGGTCCTGAAAGAGCATTTCAGGATTTGTAGGTAGAAAGGAAAAAGCAGGGACCATGCATCCAAGCAGACCAAGGTTCAAGTTCAGATTCATGCTTTTACTCGCAGTCAGGAAGGGCCAGCCAGGGTGCACACTCATCCTGGATGGAAGCCATTGGTGTGGTGACTTGATAAGTGGCCTCTAAGGTGCGCTACTGATGACTTGGAATGCAGGTGGCATTTGTAATATAAAGGTGGCCAGGGAAGAGCAGGTAATCCAAGACCCTGATAGGGGCTGGGAATGGGGCTGTTTCTAGTGTTCTTTACCTCTGCTCCAATCCTAAGTGTTTTTCTCCAGGACTGTTATTCTTTTTGGTAGATTTGCCTTTTGTGTTAAGCAAAAGACTCATTAGAAGGAATACCATGTTGGCTGCTTAATATGTCTGACAAGAATTCAGTTGACATGGGGGAGGTTGAGAGCAGTCTCTGGGAGGGGGTGAGAGACATACTTTCTGTACAACTAATGTAGGGAATGGAATCGTGAACTAGAACTTCTCTCACTTGAGTAAGACCCCAAGAGAAGAAATCTGGTCTAGCCATAGCTGCTGGCTTCAGACATCATAAGACCACATTCCTGAATGGAGATGTCAGAACTGAGTGGAAATGACGCTCAAACTACAAAGAAGCACAAAGACAGAACTATTCTGACGAGGCTATTTTTAGTTTATTATTCCAGGGCCCACAGTAAGAGCTCACTATTTTACCTTATCATTTTCAGAAAAAAAGATAAGCTTAGAAACAAAAATCTCTTTCTTGAAGGCAATTATCTGTAGCAACTGGCCTCCTGAAAACTTTGTGAGAATTGGGAGACTGTGTTATCTTTGCACTGCTTTAACAAATATCTAGAATAATCGAGTTGAAAAAGGGGATCTATTGTGGCTCTGAGTGCTTAGTTTGACCTATTACTTTTAGTCCCACAGTGGTGTTTGGGGGCAGCACATCATAGCAGACATGTATAATATAGTATATCTGTTCACTTTGTGGTTGGCATATGAAAGAAGGAACTTGTATTCCCAAATCTCTTTCAAGGGCATGTCCACAATGACTTGAAAAACTCTCTCACTCAACTTGCTTGTGAGTGTGTGTGTGTGTGTGTGTGTGTGTGTGTGTGTGTGTGTGTGTATACACGCGCGTGCACCCATATGTGGGTCCACCCACAAATGCATATAGGTAAATATGGAAACTGGAGGCTGACTTCAGATCTCTTCCTCATTTCTCTCCACCTCACTTTTTGAGACAAGGTCTCTCACTGAACCTGCAGCCCACTGACTTGTGAGATTAGCTGGCCAGCCTGCTGCAGGATCCTCCTGTCTCCACCCCCACAGTGATGGGATTGTAAGGGACTGTGTCCTGCCTTTCCTGTGGGTGCTGGGGATCCGAACACAGGTCCCCATGCTTCCCTGGTGAGCAATTTACTAAAAAAGCCACCCCCTTCCTGGCTACATTTCTTGAAACTTCAACCACCTCTGAACAATACCAAGTTGGGGCACAAGCCTTTAAGGCATGGGCATTTGCAGGACATGACAGATCCACATGATTGCAGGGACTTTAAAGATCTTTATTCTTACAAAACTGGCCCTGGGAACTCTTGACCTTTGACACATAACAAGGCAACTCTCCATCTTAGGCACCAGGATTAAATCAACAAAGAGATTAATGAATTTAAGAGATACTAAATGCATCTGCTAAATGCTTTACAGGCCATGTGATTGTGTAAGTTAGAACATCACCCTTTAACTCCTGCTGGTCTGGCAGAGAGATTAGGCTCAGGGCTACTCCAAGGGGTGGGGAAGCGTAGCTCCTGGAGGTCTCTCTAATGTGGATCACCATTCTAAATGCTTCTTGCTCACCTCTGCTTTTATCCCTGTGCAGGGCTTTGTATCTGTCCATGAAAGACACTGAAAAGGGAATAAAGGACCTGAATCTGGAGAAGGACAAGAAGGTTTTTAATCACTGCTTCACAGGTAAAATGACTTGCACTCCCAGAGTGGGCAACTGAGGAGGGAATGGGGTGTTCTCCCACAGCTATCTGTGCGCAGTGGGGTGTGGCACATAGTAGGTACACAGGATTGCAAAATGTAGACTGGTGAACAAGAGATCAGAGTTCTGCCTGTGTAGAAACAGAAACCAGGGTAGAAAAAGCCTTTGTTTTTGTTCAAGATAAGACTTCAGAAGTCACAGCTATGTCAATCAAGCATCCCTTTTCTCCAATATTTGGCATTATGTTAAAAAAAGGATTAGGAATAGGAACAGTTTAATATACTGTAACCACACTATGGTAAACAAGAATTAAGATATGTAGTAGAGGGCTGGAAAGATGGATCAGAGGTTAAGAGTATTGACTGTTCTTCCAGAGGTCCTGAGTTCAATTCCCAGCAACCACATGGTGGCTCACAACTATCTATAATGAGATCTGATGCCCTCTTCTGGTGTGCAGACAGAACAGTGTATACAAAACAAATCAATTAAAAAAAGATATGTAGTAGAAAATTTAAATAATAATGTTGGGGGTGTCAGACACTGTACCCAGTAAGTTAGTAAGTGTCTTCTGTTTGAGCAGTGTGGTATAGAGGTGAAAGCACATTCACTAGAAACATGCTGCCTGGTTTTCAAACTCTGCATCTGCAACTTACTAGCCACAAAACCTCCAGCCAAATAACTGCCTCTGTGCTTTACTGTCTACATGATGGGAAATCACAGTGCACCTACCTCCCAGGCTTGGTGTTTTGTAGTGGAATAGTCCCTGCCACATACCAAGCACTTTGAGTGCTAAGCTTTCAAATAGTCATTCTGATCAAAGAGGTTATAGCTATGTAACAGGGCCATGAATTCAGGAAAGAGAAAGAACTAAGAGCTGCTGAGGTGATTAGGAGGCGGTGCCTCAGTTGGACCTCGAAGTAGAGGTGGTTTGTGGGGAAGATTTCTGATGATGAGTTATGAGTAGAAAAGTGCAGCATGTGCATCTGGAAAAATGAAGTGACCACCTGGAAGAGCTGATGCTCTTATAGACAGCAAATGGGATGTTAGCTTGGGAGTGGGTCAGACACCCAGCATGTTTGCAAGATATGCCGTAGGGATACAACTTGGAGGAATTACAACAGTGTAAGCATCTGAGAAGATGTTAGGTCCACAGAAAACCCATGAAAATGGCTTAGGTCAGAGTTAGGAAGGGGTAGAGGAAAGGATGTGATTTGCACTGTGGGGCAGTATCTCCCAAGAGTGTGCCTCAGAGAATGAAGGCAGTAGCCTTTAGCATCAAGTCAGCACCAAGCTTCACCATCAAGCTACTTAGGGAGATGATAAAAGCAAGGCAGGACCCTAAGGATGTGGGGCTGGGGTCGCTATGAGACAGCCCCAGGCCAAAGGAATAAGGGGTTCCTACGGAGACTCAGCCACCAGATCTAGCCCAGACTTACTTTCTGTTGAATACATCCCTGAGTCCCAGAGCATTCACTAACACTCAAGTCCTTCCCATGCACCATCATAATGGATTCCAAAACTCCCCATGAATGGAACCTTCATGAGAGTCTGGTGGTGTCAGCCGAGAGGCAGAAATAGGAAGCACTCAATGCAATGGAGTACCTTGACTATCACATGACGGAGAAACCCGATTGAAGTCTTTCAGACTTCAGGACACCTAGTCAAAAAGCACAGACTCAAGTGTGAGAACACACCAACGAAGGTCCAGGAACTGGACGTGCAACTGCAGCCCAAGGCTATTGAAGCTTTTGGGGTCTTACATTTCTTACTTTTCAAATGGGGTAAGTAACTGCTACCTCTTTTGTAGAGTTGTGAGGATTGAAAGCTGAAATGCTTGTCTTCACAGAGAAAGAAAAGTGGGTAAAAAAAATCTTTGTGTGTGAAACTCAAGGAGGGATCATTCTCTGAAAGGGGTCATGACTCTTTCAGATGTCCCATACCCAATGTTCCAGCTCCAGTGACCCAGGACCAGCAGGCTGCTATGTTGGTTGTCACTGGTGGACTTATAAAGAACACACTTTATGAGTACAAAGCTTCATTTTTAGCTTGCTGATAATCCAACTGATAGGTTTTCTTCATTTCATTCCCTGTGTTATTTTCTCTTGAGGTAAAAGTTAAATAAAATGACTATTCAAGTTCCCTGACAGACTCTTTAAAATGCATGACAATACACACAAATATTGTAATCAAATTTTAATTTAGGACACACACCCTGTTATGTTATTTGATAATTAAAATTTGCAGTATCTCTTCATTGACAGATTTCTTTCTTTCTTTTTCTTGGTTTCTCTGTGCAACAGCCCTAGCTGTTCTGGAACTCTCTTTGTAGACCAGGTTGGCCTCAAATTCACAGAGATCTGCCTGCCTCTGCCTCCCGAGTGCTGGGATAAAAGGTGTGTGCCATTATGCCTGGGCTTGACAGATTTCTTAATGTGCCACCAGACTTGCCTCACTGCCCCTCATCTTCCTCCTCCTCTGGAGTCCTCTTACTTTCTCACCAGCCCCAGCTCTGTTCTCATGGGCTGTGATGTGCTTGTAAGTTTGTCCATACTGTTGCATCCTTGCCTGTGCTGGACCCTCAGCTCCTATCTCAAATGCTTGCAGACACCTCCTATTTTAGGTCTCAGCCCAGTTACTTTCTCTATAAATCCTTTTCTGATTTGATCCAGTCATCCATTGTACCACAGTACTGACTTAGAGCAGAATTCTATAACTTTAATGCTTACGTTTTCGCTAGGGAACCTGCCCACTGCCCAGCTAGTGTTTTGTACAAGCTCAATAAATGTGTAAGTTAATAAGAATGATTTGTTTATATATGTCTTACTAACTTTCATGTGTGCTTTAACTTTTGCATGATTCCTGTTGTTTCCAAGTATCCATCTCACTAATCTTCCTTCTCCTTCTTGGAATAGTGGGGAAGCTGAGACAAGATGGACCCTGGTGAGCACTGGAGCCAGTGTGTGGTTGGCAGTCAGTGACTTGTGACTTGGGAAAGAGTTAACTTTCCATTGATGTTCTCATTCAGGTAACGGTGTCATTGACTGGCTGGTTTCTAACAAGCTGGTTCGGAATCGCCAGGAAGGCCTCATGATCGCTGCATCACTGCTCAGCGAAGGGTACCTGCAGCCTGCGGGGGATCTGTCTAAGAACGCGGCCGATGGAATAGCTGAAAACCCTTTCCTGGACAACCCCGATGCTTTCTACTTCTTTGTAAGTAGGAATAGCTACCCACTTGTTTTTCCCGACACAGGACCAGGGTAGATTTTCTGTGGATATCAGTTTGTAGGCACACATGCAAACAGAGTGTCTGGTCCTAAGGAGAACTGAGGGGTGAGAAGGCTAGAGAAGAAGCCAACCAGAGACAAAAAGTTAGTAACAAGCTGCTGAGATGGCTCAGAAGATACAGGTGCTTGCTGCCAAGCCTGATGACCTGAGTTCAATCCCCAGAACTTACATGGTAAAAGGACACTGCAGCTTTCTGCAAGTTGTCCTTTGACCTCCATACCCACTCGATGGCATGTGCATGTGCATACATATTGAAACTCACGCGCACACACACACACACACACACACACACACACACACACACACACAAATATTTTAAAGACAAATACTACAAGGTATGAAAACACAGGCCCCTACAGCTTCTATTACGCCAGCATTTTCTAGACTTCCCAGCTACCCCCTCAAATGCTGCCTTCTCCAAGTGAACGGTTTAGAGGAAGCGATTGTTTACTTGAATAGTTTTCTCTAAACTCACTTTTGAAACCTTAATTCTTCCTCTAAGCAATCAATCCATCTATAAAAGTGTATTGTGTGTCTCTGCATGGCACATGTTGTCCTAGGCAAAGGGAACACAGCAGTGGAAAGGCAAAGGCACAAGTCCTGGTATGCTGTCCTTTTCAGAGGGCTGCCTATGAAATCGCAGATGTGGTGAGCTGCCTGTCTGTGCTCAGCTGTACAATCAAATGCACACCATGCTTCTGTGTACACTTCTTCCCATAACCTTGCATGCTTCTTGTGTTATGCCTACTGAGACTGCTCAACTGCATGTTACATAACATGAGCCTAGCTTGTGATCACATGATAATTTGAGCAACTGTGGTTTTCTAGGGGGATTTTGACAGTTTTGTTTCTATTTTGGATCAGAATGTAGAAGTTGGGAAAGCTACATAAAGAACCATCCTTCTTATACAAATGAGGTGGACATCCCAGATAGCGTTTCATTTCACTTTTGGGGGAGTTCCACTGCCAGTACTTTTTCTTGCTTCAGACCCTTGCTCTATCTTTTTATAGCCATTTAAATTAAGGGTGCTAAATTAACTCCCCATAGCAGCTCCTCCTCTGTGTGGTTTGTCACTCTTTTACAGCTCAGAAAGTCTCTAATTATCCTGACCTCAGGGGCCGAGGTGCTGCATAAACTCTTGGTTCTCTCCAGGCTAGAGTTGGAGCTGAGTGACAAGTCATGGTGGAGAGAGTTGCATCAGGGTGTTGTCACTATGATTTCAAACATGTGGCCGTGAAGTCCCATGAGAAGGAGGACTTTGAAGAGAGAAATGTGCCTGGTAAAAGAAAAATGAGATAGACTTAGGATATGGCCTGGAGAATCACAGAAAATGAAAGGATATTGACCAGACCACACCTGAATGGAGACACAAAAGGGCAGGATCCAGGGGCAGGGAAATGGGGGAGGCTTAGACAGCAAGCCCAGAGTCACCTGGAAGCTTCCTGCCATGATTCACACAGCAGCATGGAGGAAGCATGGCTGGCAAGAGCGGGTGTGGACACAGGTGTAGCAATATGTTTGAGACCTACAAGAGCCTGCTGTGCGTTTCTCAACAGCCAGACAGTGGATTCTTCTGTGAAGAGAATTCCAGTGATGACGATGTGATTCTGAGAGAAGAATTCAGAGGGGTTATCATCAAGCAGGGATGTTTACTGAAGCAGGTGAGTGACTGGTTTCCTCTGCCCCTTTTCAAGACTTCTCATTTTTTTTTTCTAAATTACCAATGTGGAGGATGGTGGTGCATATCCCAGCACTCATAAAGCTTAACCACAGGGATTGCTGTGAGCTCAAGGCCTGGCTAGACTAAATAGTGATACTTTATCTAAAAAAGACAAAGGAAACAAATGAAAAAGAAAAAGGCTGACATTATTAAATAGAATTTAGTTTACTTGACCAACAATCAACCAGAAAATGAAACTGAGAACATGTAAGACAAAACGCTAAGTAGAGGATGAACATGATGTTGGGTTAGGACTGGGGCAGCCAGGGCAGAAAATTCCCTTGTAAATGGTGAAGTTCTTCTTTTGCCAATGTCCTAATGATGAAAAGTATTTTAAGAAAATATTGCCCTTTCTTTAATAGGAAGAAGTAAGTTGGCAAGAGATGCCATTCAAAAGATAAAGCTATTTCATGATAAAGTACTCCAAAGTGATCAGAAAACAGGACGAGGCCACACTATATGGTAACCTTTAAGAGCAAGGAGGTGCCAGTCCAGACTGTGTTAAAGCCTGGTGAGATGGAAAACTATGGCCTGAGGCCAACTTTGTAGGAGTAGCGGGCTAAGGTCAGGTCCTGTTTGAGTGCATGGGCACAGTACAGGTGTGTGTGGGGGATTATGTGCAATTTCAGGTATCCATAATCAGTCTTGGAGGTAAGGGCTGGGGTAAACTGAAGCTCTACATAGTTCTAGGTGTCAAGGCATGTGATGGTAAGAGTTAAGAGGGCACAGGGTCTCTTAAGAAGAAGTTGTGCTGCAGGGGTGGCTTGGCTCCTCCCACCACCAGACACAGGGTAACAGAAGTCTCCTTACCCATCTCAGCTCCCGATATGGGATGGCTTTGGGTATATATCATGGTAGCTGTGACTTTTATTTCACTTGTGCCCACAAAGATTTCTGACTTCCCTTTTATCCAGACCACTCATTGTCTAAGACCACCTGCTATATTTGTTATTTCCTTTAAGAATGTGACATTATGTAAAGCAGACTCATGTACAGAACAAGGAAAAGAACTGGAGGGAGGGAGGGGAATTCAAGTGGCAGCAAAGTTTGGCTCTGCTCCAGAGAGCAGAGATGGCATTGGAATGTGTGAGAAAGTCCGCAATGTCATAACCACTTCAGCCACTGATGCCATTGAACTGGTTGTGTTGGTTCTGAACTCCATGTGGGGAGCCTCTGGCTGTGAAATCTTTTTCCCCTTCATAGTTGTCTTTATCCTAGTAGAAACAGCTGCCAGAAACTCTCCATCATCAGCCATGCCCATTTTCTCATGGACTGGGCAATGGGGTCTATCTGATCAAACTGGTTAGTGCAGCCTCCTGCCGCAGCCACAGGGATCAGAATTTTAAAAAAGGAGTGGGAAATGATGATCTTGGTAAGAGGAAGGAGTTTGAAAACATTTAGTTTTCAAAGTTTCTTAAGAGATTAATCTTACCTCCTGGCTGGGGTCACCACGTTTGGTGCGTGTGTGCGTGCGTGCGTGCGTGCGTGTGTACGTGTGCATGAGTGAGCATGAGTGTGTCTGGACTGGGTGTTTTCAAGTTCCTTGCATTTTATTCAAAGAATTTAAAAAGTGCACACAAATGGAAAGGCAATGGCTTTATTTGAAGAGACAGTGCAGGAAATACTACAAGGAAGTAACAAGCTAGGTGGACTAGACCCCAAGGACACTGGTTATTGTTTATAGGCCCTTTTCATGGAGTCCAGAGGAGGATGTGTTAGTTTCTAGGGGGTTTAGTTCTGGTGGTTCTATTTTGATTGACAAACTTGGGTCTCAGGTTATGTAAGTTTTTCTTTATTGCATGTATTTTTTTTGCCATACCACATCTAAATTTAATCAAATTAATTCAGAGTTATAGACATAAGAATATAGAGGATTTTCCCTAAAAGTTTACTTTATTCCACATGAACCCAAAATTTGTTCGAGTTGCTTTTGTTTCCTGCCTCTGGTTCCCACATACATTTCGGGACATGTTTGAATAGATTTGGTGTTTGTGAAGCTCCGGGCAGGTGAGAATCCCAGGATACCAAGTGCATTGTAAGGAAAGAGGTGTGTGTGTGTGTGTGTGTGTGTGTGTGTGTGTGTGTGTGTGTGTGTGTAGCCCAAGCCAAGTACAGTCTGGGTTGCCGAGTTTTCCTCACACTTGCCGCTCCAATCTTTTAGCTCTCGAGTAACCCTGGTTCATACCAGAATCATTTGGGAGCAAATGTTAAAAAGTCTTTATGGTCTTCAAAGTATCAGCTCTCCTACCATTGACGGTGGGAGCTTGCCCAGGTTAACCTGTAGAGAAGGCGAAACATGAGAAAGGATACCTGTGTTGCACACTCCACAGGTGGGAAGTAGCTGTGTCTAACTGGAGGACTGTGTTCCCGTTTCCCACTTTTAGACTCAAGAGAACATTCATATTGACAAATGGAACAAGCACAAGGATGAATGGGTTATATTCAGTCTAATCCCTTTTGTATAATTTTTCTATTATAACAATGAACAAAATACTTTGCTGTTTAGTCCTTGGCCACGTATGGTGTCTGCGCGGGGAAGGACAATGTATTGATATGCTTTTCTTATTTGTACAGAATTCAACACACTTTTTTTTTGCTCTGTCATAAACAATAAGCACTTGTCAAATTAACAGTCAACTATAATGGATAACTGATAAAGCAGATAATTCAGATAATGGTTGTTAGAAAACCCAGGTGTGCATACATTCTTGAAGTCCTTCAGTAAATAATCCTTATAGAAAGGTGATCAGACACTCAGAATAAACTTTTCAATAAACCACATTGTGATGTTGGAGAAGGCTTTGAGAGAATATGACAGCTGTTCAAGACTGGCTGACCCACCAGCTTAGGATAATTTGGTGGTCACTTAATAATTCCACAAGATAGCATGGCTTTCACATTTTCCAATACAGAAGAAATTGTGTGAGGAAACTTACATGCTCAGATCTCATGGGCAGTGTTATTAAGGCAAAGAAAATACCCATATTTGTAGAAGCTGATGGATCTCAGAAGTCATTTTGAGGTGGGGAGATGGCTCACCACTTAAGAACACTCACTGCTCTGGCAGAGGGCTGGGGTTCAGCTCCCAGCTCTCACACGGAGGCTAACAGAGATCTCTAACTCCAGTTCCAGGATACCCAATGTCTTATGACACCTGGAGTCACCAAGCACACACGTGGTGCACATACATACATACATACATACATACATACATACATGTAGGAATGAGAACCTGTGTTCTATCACCAGAACCCATGTAAAAAATTTGGCGTGGCACATACCTGTAATCCCTGTACTAGAGATAGACAAAGACAGGCAAGTCATTGGTGCCTTTTTGGCCGTCTATCCCACTTTTCGCTGACAAGCTCCAGATCCTAACGAGAGCCACTGTATCAGAAAACAAGTTGGACAGCTAGTGAGGAATGGCACTTGAGGTTGACTGCTGACCTTCACATCTACATGCATACATACACACACATGCACCTGCGTGGGCATACATGCATGTGCATGCATGTACATGTGCATACACACATGTGCGTGCACACACACAGGCAAAGACATGTATCTATTTCTATATAGATATAGATAGATAAAGAGAGACAGACAGACAGAGACAGATAGACAGCAAGCAGACATCTTTATTATGCTTTGTTTGATAGCTCATGTCTACAATGACATATCTCTCATTTAATTCTTTTGAAATCCATTATTTACATCTAGGGTTTTATTTGGATTTTGTCATAGTCTATTTCCATATGGATCACAAACTCCTCAAAAAACAGGACAGAGTCTTGAACCAAGTCATATGCCCAGCACCACCAAATATGTCACACACGCTGTACCAGTGCACACAGTTCTGAGGTCGGAAGACAGCGCAGAAGTAATTTAATTTATCCATGTAATTCAACAGCGAGTGTTTCATTAACTGATCTTGGTGCTCTCTCCCCGAGAAAGACATGGGCCAGCACCTAGTAATTCACCGTGGCATTCTTTTATCCTGTATCTCAGCAGACTTCCTACTTGGGCACCGCGTGCACCGCGTGATGTTAATGACTCATCCTCCCTTTCCCGTTCCTCGATACAGGGGCACAGGAGGAAGAACTGGAAAGTGAGGAAGTTCGTTCTGAGAGAAGACCCGGCCTACCTGCATTACTATGACCCTGCCGGGGTGAGGTCATGTGGTTGATAAGTCCATCCAACAGAAGCTTTGCAGTGGTGATGAGCTGGGGCCACGCACCCTCTGTTTGGATGCCTTTCATTTTCACTCTCATCCTTCTTCCCTTCCTGCTCTCTGTTAAACTGTTCTGCCACCTCCCACCGCAATGTCTGAGTTCTTGTGCCTCTTAGACCAGCAAAAACTCAGCAGGGGGAGAAAGTATCAGGGTATTGTATGCATTTGGTTAACTCAGTATAGCTTTTTTGTCCCAGTTGAGATATATGTTATTACCTTAATTTCTCTCAGCACTCACATTATGGGTTTCACTGTGAAATTTTCACACCTGTATCTGCCTCCTTCCTTGACTTTCTTCTGCCCCACTGCCCTATCTTCTCCCTTTTTTTCACACCCATGCGATCCTTCCTTCCTTTGAACAGTCCTCTGCTTCCATGGCATGTCCCGTCCGTCACACCCCTTCCCTTCCTTCCCCTGTACCTCTTCCCCCTCACTTGCAGTCCCCATTCTGCTTTCTAACTTCTTCATAGGAGAGAACATGAGGACTATTTATCTTTCTGAGTCTGGATAATCTTGCTTTAACAAAATGGTCTATAGTTCCATCCATTTTCCTACACATGTCAATATTTTGTTATTTTTTATGGCTGTATATGTGACACATTTTAATTACCCATCCATCTAATCCAACTTCTAGGTTGAATTAGAGTGTGTTTTCTGGTTTTAGTCTGTTGAGACCCTCTACATTGGTTTAAGCAGCGGCTGCCTCAGTTTACAGCCCCACTAAGAGTGTCGGAGTTCATTTTCTTCCCTATCCTTGCCAATAGTTACTATTTCTTTTTAATGGCAGCCATTCTGACTGGGGCGAAATAGAATCTCAAGATGACTTTGATTTGCCTTTCTCTGATGGTCAAGGACACTGAGCACTTCTTCAACTCCTTGCTGACTGCTTGTATTTCTTCTTTTGAGAACTGTCTACTCATTTCACTAGCCTAATTTTTAAGTTGATGATTTGTTTTCCTTGGTATTTTATTTAGGGGTTCTTCATCTGTTTCAGATGTTAATATGTTTGGTGTAGAGCTGGCAAAGAGTTTCTTCCGTTCTGCAGGCTGCCTCTTCACTCTGCTGATTGTAGTCCTCTGATGTGGAGAAGGTTTTCCATTTCCTGCATTCCGTTTGTCAGTTCTTGTTGTTTTCTGTGCTGTTGGAATCCTTTCCTGAGGTCATATTTTTAAGCAACATCTTGAAATGGTTCACCTATGCTGTTTCAGAATTTACGTTAAGATCTTTTATCCATTCTGAGTTGATTTTGTGCAGAGTAAGAGCTTTGAATTTAGTTTCAGGTCTTTTTTGAGCACTGTTTGTTGAAAATGCCATCTTTTTTTCAAATGTGTGCTTTTGGCACCTTTGTTTAAAAGCGTTTAAAAGATTCCCTGGCTACAGCATTTCTTGGTTCTCTGTGTATCCATTATTTGAGCTAATCCCATCTTGGTCATTATGGCTCAAGTCCAATTAGAGAACTTGATGCCTACACCATTGTTGTTTCTGTCTAGAATTGTTTAGGATTTTCAGTCTTTTTGTATTTCCATGTGAATTTTAGGGTTCCCCCCCTAATTTTCTGAACAATGTTGTTGGGACCCTTACCTTCTGGTGTGTCTGGTGTTGCTGCCTGAGGTAAGACTGGATCATCTGTGTGTTGGTACACAGAAAAAAGGAAATATTAATTGAACAGGAGGAGGATGGCACTGGAGACAGATTTCCAGCATCAAGCACTCTGGAGGACCAAAGAAAGCTTTTGATCAAGACAGTATCGAGCTGTCTAGCTACCACCAAAGGCAAGAGTGGAAAGAGTCTTCACTGTATTGGCTGTCTGGTCTAACCTGTACAGGATGGACATTCCTCTTAAAGTCTAGGTATCACCAATGCCATGTTGCTGTTGCTCCAGATTCCAGCCAGGAATTCCAGATTCCAGGTTGGAATTTCAAAGGAGAAGATGACAGCTGGAACTGTGGCACTAATGCTGGGCTTCACATGACTGCCACTTGAAGGTTCTGGAAAACTAATCACAGAATGTACTCTTAAATGACAGAGGATCTGTCCCCAAATTATGCCAGTTTTCCAGTGGACCCCAAAAGACATCAAGTTTTCTATTTTTGGTCATTCCAGGGAAAGTCACAGAGCTCTGATTTGTGCTTTGGAAAATACAAATCTGTGTCAGCGTTTGCTCAAATTTACCATCCAGTATTCTGCTCTTGGGGCAAACAAGCCTTTAAAGGACAGTTGGGAACAGACCAGAGTAATGGAAGGGTAATGAGGCAACCTGTCTGGTAAAACCCTATTCAGGTTCCCTGACGGACATGTTCAAGAGCACTTGATGGGCTGTGAGAAGACGCATCTTCTCTGTCTGTGGATCAAATACTCTGCATGTGAGCTAAGTTTAAGTCTGGATTTCCTCGTAGTTTGTATGACATCTCTACAGACGAGGGAGGAGCACTGAAGTCACTCACCATGATTAACCTTTACTCACCATTCATGTTTGCTTTACAAAATTGGGAGCCCCACGATTGGAAACATATTTATAATTATACATTCTTGATGAATTTTCTCTTAATAATATGTTATTTCTTCTAACTAAATTTGGCTTGGATTCTTTGTCAGATCCCATAGTAACTACAACAGCTTATTCTGGGCTGCCATTTGCTTGACTGATTGAATTGATCCTTTGAGCTTGAGCCTGTCAGTGCCTTTGCTAGTGATGTGCATTTCTTGGGACAATAGAGAGGTGAATCTTGTTTGTTAATAGAGCCAGGCAATCTGTCTCTAAAGGTGAGTTGAGGCCACTTACAATTAAATTTATTCTTGAGAGGTGTTTACCCACTCCTGTAACTTTTTTTCTTGTTGGTCACAACATTATTGGTTATTTTCTTTCATCCTTAGTAATTAGGGGCTTGTTGGCTGACTGTGTTGGACATGATGAATCCTTTCCTGGATTTTCTTTCTCTATTCATCACATGGTGTTTATTCTTTCCTATGCTCTCAGGTGAGAATGTCTTTCTTCCTCTGTACCAGGCTTTTTCTTTTAGGCCACTAATCAGCTCCCAAATCATGACGCAAAGACTTCTTATTAGGTATGACTGCTCAGCCTCCTCTTACGCTTGTTTCTTGGTAGCTCTTATAACTAAACCTGTTTTTCTTCATCTATGTATTTCTCAGACTTTATACCATTTCTTTCTGTGTGTCCTACTTTTCCTGCTTCTTCCTGCCTGTTTGTTAGCTGCCTAGCTGGTTAATCCAGGAAGTCTCCATCTCTTTCTCCCTTGTTCTCTCCTTTCTTCTTCTCTTTTCGAGCCTAGATTTCTCCTCCTACTTATTCTCTCTGTCCACAAGCCTGGCCTAATTTTATCTCATTTATACCCTCCACGAATGTATTGGTGGGATTCATGTATGAAAATGGCTATACTACCAAAAGTAAACTACGGACTCCATGAAGGTCCTATCAAAACACTGATGTCATTCTTCATGGAGCTAGAAAAAGTAATCCAAGGATTCATATGGAATCATGAAAGACCACAAATAGCCAAAGTAGTCCTAGGGAGAAAGAACATGCCTGGAGGTATCATCACACCTCCTCTCAAATTATACAACAGAGCTGTAATGAGAACGACAGCCAGATATGGGCATAAAATAGACATTTAGACCAATGGAATGCAAGAGAGGACTCAGAAATAAACCAATAAAGCTACAGCCACCTGAATTTTGACAAAGGAACAAGAAACATGCCATAGAAAAGAGAGGTTATTCAACAAATGGTGCTGGCAAAATTGGCTATTCATGTGCCGAAGAATGGAATTAGAACCACATCTTTCACCCTGTGTGAGAAAATTAACTGTATGTAAAACCTAAAACACTGAAACTAATCATGGAAAAGAGGAAATGTATATCACAGTACAGGTTTAGGTATGGCTTTCTGAGATATCTCCAACAGCACATGAGCTAGCTCCAAGAATCATCAGATGGGACAAAACTAAAATTAAAAAAAAAATCTCTACACAGCAAAAGCAACTATGAGCAAAGCAAACAGATGGGCAGCAGAATGGAAGGAAGTATTTACTTACTGAACTTCAGATTGGGGATAAAATCCAGAATTTTCAAAGAACTGAAAAAAATTAAATATGAAAAAAACCTACCAATCAACAAACAAGTTAAAGAATGCACAGATAATTTTCAAAAGAATAATTACAAATGGCCAATAAATATGTTTAAAAAGTGTTCAACAGCCCTTGTCATTATAGAACTTCTTTGAGACACCACTCAGAGCGGCTATAGAGGAAAGGAACTTCAATTCAAGGATGATGGGAGTACACACTAGTTCAGCCACCATGGAAATCCGCATGGAGTTTTCTCAAATAATTAAAAAGAGAACCACCATGTGGCCCAGCTATGGCACTCACTAACATTCCCACAGGACTCCACACCCCACTACAGACATACTTGCACCTCCCTTCCAGTTTTTAATACTGTTTCTTTGCTCTGTTTTGTTACTATTGTGACTATAATATGTTGTGGGAAGTTTCTTCTCTGGGCATGTCAATGTTTAATCATAAGTGCCTGTTGTGTTTGTATGCTTTTTACTTTCTCTAGGTTTGTGCAACTTTCTGCTGTGATTTCATCAAATAGATAATCTATCTTCGGTTTCTAGCACATCTCCCTCTGCTCCTTGGATTCTTCGGATTGGTCTTATGACTGTATCCTGGAGTTCTTGGGCACTGTGCTTTGTTTGTTTATTTATTTATATTAATTGATGTTTGGATGTCACAGTCCCCAGTCTTCTCCTCCATCCTTGATATATTTTATTTTCTTGGTCAAACCCATTGGTGGTACCTGGTGCTCTAATTTTCACTTAGTTGGTTTGGATTTACATTTTCAACATCTCTGTTTTTTGTTGTTGTTTCTCAACATCCTCCTTTGTCACTCTTCAATCTACATTGTTGGTTTTCCATTTTTCTGCTGTTTCCTTTATGTGACTGAATTTCCTCCCCAGTCTTACATTGAATTCACCTGCTTGTGTGTAAACTATCTGAGGTCATTAATCATTTCACTAGTAAGTCTTCATCCAACATTGAACCTACTTCAGCGTCTCTGAATTCAGTTGGTGAGGAGTTATTATGGTCTTTTGGAGGAGTCATACTGCTTTGTTTCTTGTGTTTCTGTGTTATGATCTGCGCATTTCTTGGCTTACATGTTGGTTGTACTATGGGATTTTCTTATTGAGCAGCCTACAGTAGAGGGTATTACTGCCCACATCGGAGAAAACAAAGTACTTTTGGACAAGGCTTGTGTGTGTGTGTGTGTGTGCCTATGCACTCTATAGACATATATGTGTACAGGTGTACATGACTGTAAACATGTGTGTCGAGACCAGAGGATAGATGTCAGATGTTCCTCTATCACTCTTCGATTTATTTCTTTGAGATGAGTTCTCTCCCTGAAACTAGAATTCAGTTTTGTTGTGATTTTCTGCCTAGGCTGAAAGCTAAGAAGCCCTAGCAATCCTCCTGTCTCCATGGGTTTGCATTATAGGTGTGTGTGGAACATATGTAGGTGTTGTATTTGTGCTGAGATCAAAACCTTGGTTCTCATACAAGTGTAGAAAGCCCTCCTAGCTGCTGGGCCATCTCCTTGGCCCTTGAGTAAGGCTTGGATTTCACCTCATCCACTTGTGTCTCCTATACTTTTCTCTTCCCTCTTTACTTGTTCTGTCACTACCGCTGTGAATTTTCAAAGCTCTCCCTCCCCTTTGCTGTCAGAGTAAGGTCTATTTTTTTCTTATTCTAATTTTCCCTTTTACTAGGTTGCAAGAAAGCAGCTTTTAGTCCACTATATTACCCCAAAGTAATATTTGATATTTTTGTAGCAACACATTTTGTCCAATACTGTGCCCATGGTCTAATATACAAGAAAAGATAATTCATCTTCCAGGACAACTGGACAATCAATCTAGGTCCAGCAAAGAAGAAGCTTTTCCCTCAACGGAAAGATCTGAGTTGGAAGTAAAGAGAAGCTCATGTCAGCTGTTGGGATTGAGGGCTTGCTCTGCTCACACTCGGTGTTCTTTGGCTTAGTCCTGTGAGCGCTAAAATGCTATGTCAAAGACAAGAGCAGGCAGTTCTTCAGAGGGACATAATAACTTGAGCATCTCCCTGATGCTTTTCCTCCAGATCTGAGTTCCCAATTGGCTTGCATCTTCTCATGCAGCTTGTAGGGGAGGGTAGACGTTTTGAAAAGAATTTTCTTTCATCTCCCTCTGTTCTTACCTGACATGTACCTGACTGAACCTGTGTGTCTGCAGCAAGAGGATGAGGTAAATCAACACTGTGTACAGTGGAGACACAGCTGCCCTTCTCTTTTCTAGGGTGAAGATCCCCTGGGAGCAATTCACCTGAGAGGCTGTGTGGTGACATCAGTGGAGAGCAATCCCGATGGTAAGAATGAATTTCTGTGGGGGGGAAATGTGTCTACTGCTACTCTACACCTGTGCATATTGAGCTAATCAATCGGTCATGAGGCACAAGCATGTATAAATTTACTGTCCAAAAACTTCAGGGGGAGTGTCATTCCTTCCAAAGAGCTGGCCTGTCTTTCAGAACTTTGGAAATAGGGGTGAATTTGTGGATACCTTGAGTGTGTCACTGAACAATGCTAGAAAAATCCATCACCTCCAACCTGGCTTCCATGAAGAGCTGGATGGCAGCATCTCCTGATGCTGCAGGTTTCCTTAAAGGAGATCATGTACTTATCCATATAGGGAAATGTTCTGCAATAAACAGAGTAACTATAAATGAGTCAAAATGCTTAGTTGGAGGAATACCTGGGTACAGTTTGCTAGGTCTGTGCATCTCAGTCTGTAGTTGGAAGTTTTCCTGTGTCCTGGCCAGCTGGTGGTTGGGACAAATCTCTCTCACTTGCATCCCCAAAGTAAACACACAGAGGCTTTTATTAATTATAACTGCTCAGCCATTAGCTCAGGCTTATTATTGACTAGCTGTTACACTTAAATTGACCCTTAATTCTTATCTATATTTAGCCATGTGGCTTGGTACCTTTTTTCAGTTCTGCCTTATCATCTTGGTTCCTCTGTGTCTGGCTGGTGACTTCCAACTCAGCTTTCCTCTTCCCAGAATTCTTCTTGTCTACTTATCCTGCCTATACTTCCTGCCTGGCTACTGGCCAGTCAGCATTTTATTTATCAACCAATCAGAGCAACACACATTCACAGCATACAGAATGATATTCCACAGCACTCACCCTTTTCTGTCTAATCAAAAAGGAAGATTTTAACTTTATCATAGTAAAATTATATATAATAGAACAGTTAGCAATCAAGAATTACAGTTACAATATCTAGTCTATTTGTATTTGGCAAAATTAAAGAAAATAGTCTATCATCTATCCTGTATTTGTGAGTCTAAAGTTTCATATCTAATTTATCTTTTACCATGACTGAGGAAAACTATAATTGTAACTATCTAGTCTTCAACTACATCAAAGACCTCAGAAGGATATAATATTACCTAAGTAAACAGGAAGAGCATTGTAAGCAACTTCCAAAAATCTAGAATGACAGAAACAGCTGCTTGCCTGGACAGTCACCCCAAGTTCCTCTGCAATGTTGGGGCATCCATATTCAGCCTATATGTCTAGAGTCTCTCAGTCACTTCTCTCTGTGTTCTGTAGAATGTCTGGCAATTTCTTCTGTGAGGCAGGAACCTGAAGGACTATCTTGCCTTGCAAAGTTCAGTGGTCACTATGGGTCACCCTTCCTATGGGTCCTGCATGTCCAGTTTATGCAACATCAGTCTGCCACACAGTACACTGTGAGCATGACACCCTGATGGATCTCAGTTCCTGCTCTGAAAATAAGGGGCTGCACCAGATGGTTTCTGTACCTTTGTACTCACATGCCTATGATTGACACATGGGTTAACCACTTGGCTTCACTGCCTTGTCAGCTGCAGAGGACACACAGAATCACTGGAGATGCACTTTTCACATCCCAAATCCTGTTTTCTTTCTTTTTTTCCCCTGTCATTTATCAGACTATTTTTTTCTGTGTTGTTATAAAAATCATATTTTTGAACACAAAATTATAGAGAAAAGTATGTAACAATTATCAAATTTCAACAAGCACCTCTACACAATAATTTATTTGATGTGTGCTTGTCTGTCTTGATAATTTATCTTGACTCAAATGAAGACATGCCATTTAAAAGGGAGCACACCATGTGATCATTCTGGCTTCATCTTCACATTTTGGGTTTATTTGCCTTTTCATTTTTCATAAGGAGCTCAGACTTAGCTCTTAGTTTATACTATATTTACAAGACTAGTGTTAGATCTGGCTTGGGTTCATTATATATGTACGCTTGTGGATATAATATATGTACATTTTAATATAATGTATATTGAGATTAGCTCTTAGCTTATATTATGAGCAAAACAAAGGTACTCAATAGATACTATCGGTGTGCAAAGGCAAGAAATTTAGCTTCCTTACACATTATGAAAGAAAATGTTTCTCCTTGAGTATTTTATGTGTTTCTTAATGATCATACTACATAGCTGTCTTTACAAATACTGAATGTATCCTTAGGTAATGAATACTAATGCAGACTTTTCTTAGGACACTGAGGAACATTTCATGACTTGGGGAAGGATGTAGGCTGGTGAGTTTCTGGCACCCACATGTTATTGTGCTTTCTCTCTCATCAGGCAAGAAGAGCGACGACGAGAACCTGTTTGAGATCATCACAGCAGACGAAGTTCATTATTACTTGCAGGCGGCCACTCCCAAGGAGCGTACTGAGTGGATCAAAGCTATCCAAGCGGCTTCACGGACTGGGAAGTAAGGACAAAGTTCCAGTCATCATCCCCTCCTGAGGGAAGCACTTGTGTGGATAAAAAAGCCCAGTCCATGACTTGTCCACGCCCAGGACAATTCTACCAGAAAAAAGTAGGAGTGAGAAGTGTTTGTCTCCATGTAACTAACCATGTGCCACATGATGTTACCTGCACCATGCACTCACTCTAGTTTCTCTACCCCGTCTGCCTCACAAGCCATAGAAGGAACTATGAGAGGAGGTGATACAGGCTTTCCAGGCCTTGGGGCCTCTTGTGGAAAATGAAGGCATGGATTAGGATACCTCTGAGGTCCTTGCTAGTTGAAAAAAAAGCCAAATAGCAAATAAATACATAATGTCCTGTGATTATAATACCCATAGAAGTGAAATTGTCTCCAATTGTCCTGCTGGCGTCCCTTTTTGGGCCAAGTAGTGGCTCTCAGCTCTCATCACATGTGCCAGGTCTTAGACATCGCCTGTCTTTGAAACTGTTGCCAAGGTGTACTGAGAATACTGAGTGATTCTTTGTTCCCTGGTCATTTAGCTGTCGCTCTTGGCTGAGATTACATGAAGTAATGAGGCAGCATTCTTGCTTTCTAGTCTGCTCACTCAGACACTTCTCAAGAGCAGCTTTCTGTCTTCAGGGACTTTCCACAGCCTTTGCTGTAGTATTTCCTGAGAAATGGACTCAAGGAAGCTATGGGCAGCTGAGGGTCTTCCAGGTGCTGCAGATGCTTACATTAAGGTCTGGAAGTCTCCCTTGTGTTTTTCTGGAGCATTATGCATCACTTCTTATAACTAGAAGGTGACCCTAAGCCCTTGAGTTTCTCTTGAGGTTTACAGAAAAGTGGTTCCTGAGGGGTCCTTGAATGTGTGAGAGGCCCGGGCAGCTGTCTGGCTAGTGTGTCACTCTCATCTGCAGAGAGTGGACAGGACTGGGCTGCAAGGCAAGCTGAACAGATGAGAGACCTATGCAGTGTCAGTACTGAGGGCCTGGAATCTATGCAGAGCTTGTGGTGCAGGCTGTCAAAGTCATGGAGATCCTACAAACCTCCAGTTCTCAATACCACGTAGTTCCCTAGTCTGAAGTGCACGCAGCTTCCATTTGGGCTCTGAGAGCTTCCTGGTCCTGTTCAAAATGGAAGCTTATTTGTAACTTTTCACTCTGACTAATCACTAATTACTTCTGTTCCAAAGTATAAAACAAAGTATTCATGTAAAAGAGTGTTTTTCTTTTTAAAAAATTAATAAAAAATAATAATATTTATGTGCATGGGTGTTTTGCTTGCATGTATGTGTGCGCAACATGTGCCATGCTTGGTTCCTGTTGAGGCCAGAAGAAGGCGCTGGATATCCTTCTGCTGGAGTTGTGGGTGATTGAGCCCCCATGTGGGTGCTGGAATTGAACCCAGGTCCTCTGGAAGAACAGTCAGTGCTCTCAAACACTGAGTCATCTTGCTAACCATAGGAATATTTCTATAATTCCAGGTTTAGTGTTGTGGTCCCAATATAGAAAGGAGAACATTCTTGCTGATCCTATTGAGTCTCTTTTGCATGCTGTTAATTCCCCTGCACCAGTTGTGAGGTTCTGCCTATTCCCAGGTTATTTTATCAGTGGCTGAAAGGCAAAGGACTATCCTTTTCTTTGACTCTTCAGCACATTGTCTTTGTAGAACACACACAACAGTTTATTTACAGTAGGTCCAAATAATTATCAATATAGAGTCAGCCTTATGTTTTGAAATACATAAGATTTAGTGTCTTTTGGGTGTGATTGCCTCTCTTTAACTGCTCTCCCTTTATGCAGTTCACTTTCATCTTCTGAGCAGTGTTTTATGTTATTTCTCAACTCATTTGCAAACACTTGTCATTTAAAACAAAGAGGAGGTCAGGGACTGAAGACATGGCTCAGCAGTTAAGAGCACTTGCTGCTCTTGCAAAGGACCAGGGTTCAGTTCCCAGGTCTACACAGTGACTCATAACTGTCTGTAATTCCAGTTCCAACACCTTTTTCTGGCCTCCAAAGGAACTGCAGACACGTGGAATACATGCATGCATACAGGCAAGCACTCACACACATAAAGCAAAAATAAATCTTTTTTGAAAAGTCAGTTTTTCTGTAGGGTGTTATAGGAGCATACCCACACTGAAGATGAGGTTTAAGGATAAGGCAGAGTGTACTTCTTGTTTTTAACATGTACCACCTCAACTATAATCCTCAGACAAATGAAGGGACCCATGAAGTACACATAACGGTTCCCTTCCTTTGGGCTGCTAAGCATGCTGCAAGTTCAACTCCGCTGGACCTAGTGACTGTTTTCCCATGAGATTTCAGTTGCACTGAAATGCAGGTGTGCACAGTGGCCTGTGGTATTGTCAAGGTTTCCTAATGTAAGCAAGAGCCTTTTCTCAGGGAGAAGCCGTCCCTGACAAAGTAGTTAATCAGGGAATAGGGAAATGTGCTATTCCTATCTAAACCACTTTTTGGCTTACAAATAAAGCTCAGATCCTGTTGGACATGACGATAAGATAACAGACATAACTTGAGCTCGGTTAAGATAGCCACTGCCCTCACCCGGTGTGTGTGAAGGGTGTGGAGGCTCGTGATTCTTCTTGCAGGACAGCTGAAGCTGGCAAGAAAGACTGACAAGGTTTTTTACTCGGTTTTCCAACTTAAAGGGAGAGGAAAACAGCTTGTTTGATTACAAACCATAGAGGAATTAGGAAATAATACACAAGCCAGGTATGGTGGTATGTACGTGTAGATCCAGAGCTTGTGAGGTCGTGGCAGGAGGATTGTGAGTTCAGGGTTAGTCTAGGCAACATGGTGAGACCATGCCTAAAAACCACTGAAACAAGGAAAGAAAGAAGAAAAGATAATGAAAGGAGGTAACCATCTTCTCGCTTTATATGACTAATAGTGAGTCAGACAAATAAAACATCATTCTAAAAACTAAAACACGCTCTGGGAGACAAAAATGTTTAAATCTTATAGCATAGAATGCAGCACTGATTCAAGGATCAATGTTTAGTTTTACACACACACACACACACACACACACACACACACACACACACACACACTACTCAGTGGCTCAAACTGCACCATAGCGAGTGACTTTCAAAACAGAATGAGGAACTTCGAATGAAGACATCAGTAGACATCCAGTGCTTGTCAGGAGACACTAAAGAAAGCTAAACAGAGTTTTGGACTGCCACCTTTGGACTCTTTGAAGAGTGACGGAAACACCTCTGTCCACGACCTTTAGGGCGAAAAGGAAATGGAAAAGTAATTGCACAGTGTTTTCAGATTTAATTTTGTGTTCGCTAAACACAGGGTTTAACAACCATGCAGGAAGTGTTAGGAGAAGTAGAGGAAAGGGCAGTGGAAAAAGAAAGCAATGAGGAAGTTCAAAAATGTTAAAACGTGCTTAAAAATAAACAGTGTGAAATTATACCCTCGTTGGGCTCGGCCCCGTTTCAGCGCAGAGGAAACAAAATTTAGAAGTCCCTGGAGGAGACCAAGCAGACGGGAGGGGCTGTCCTGAGGGGAAGGGCGCAGGAATGTTTGTGGGAAGGCTTAGTAGTGTGTGGGGAAGGCACTGCCAGGGCCGGGGGTCGGGGCTCAGATGCAAGCCGTGACTTAGTATAAGCACAGCCTCTCTTAGAAGTGGCTTCTGTGTTAGCCAGAGCTTCATCACTGTAACAAATGCCTCAAATACATCAACTTAGAGACAGAAAGGTTTCTTTTGGCTCACAGTTTTCACCCACGGTTGGCTGGCCTCTCGTTTGGGGCCCGCGGTGACTATCTTATACTAGCAGGTTCTGATTGTGGGTGTGGCTGGAAACAGACAAGAAAAGGAGAGGAAGATTTGCAGGCCCTCAAGTCCTCTCCAAGAGCATGCTTCCAGCGACTAGATGATCTTCTGTTAGTCCTCTTACAGATTCTCCTGTCCCCTAAGATGGGAGCCCAAGCCTTAGCCACATGGCCCTTTGGGGAACACTCAATTCAAGCTGTGGCAGTCTCTTTGTTGCTAAAATAAAATTGGGGTTGCTATTAGGACCAAGTGAAGGAACTTGCCTAAACAACCTGGCATGTGTGGACACACTACCCTCGCTTCCCTTCCTTTCACGCATCTTCCATAGAAGGCTTTCGTGGTAATCTAAGGTAGTGGGCAATGGCTTCCAGTTTTTTAAATCTATATCAGAATTGCCTAGAATTCTTTTGTTGAACGTTTCTGTACAAAACTTGCTCAACATTACCAGGCCTATAGTCAGAGGAGATTCAAAGCCCAGCTTGCCTGATTTCTGAATCCATGCATTTAAGCTCACTGTCCTGTAGTGGATATACTTGGCTCTTTCCAGCTTTGGGTACCTATCTTGTTTCCATAGGAACGCTATTAACCGCCCTGGCTCCTGTCCTATCAGCCACAGCAGCATTTCCTGTTAGCACACAGCCAGGCCCCGACTCTGGGTTCTGGGTTTTCCGTTGCCTAAAGGGAAACCTCTACGGCCAGATAATAGCTAAGCAAGGGGCTCCACACCATGGACTCTGGTTTTGAGGTTTCTGTGGATTCTACTCTGTGACATATTCTTGCAAAACATTTTTTTCCTGGACAGATTAGGATGTATTTATACACACATCCATTGTGTACTCATGTGTGTACTTAAAACTGTTTTGAACTTCACTCTGAGGATGAACAGCAAAAAATATTCACACACATATATAGGAAAAACCTGCTTCATGGATAAAAATCCAAGTTTTGTCCATAATAAGGAAAAATAACATAAGGGGAACTTGTCCAAAGATGTGTGACTGGCAAATAAATACATGAAAAACAAAACGAAACATGGCATCATTAGCCACTGGGGAAATGCTAACTGACGTCACAAAAAGGCAGCACTGTAGACTCGGTGGGTTGCATTGGCTAACAAAGAGTAACTTGCTGGGGTTTGACAAGGATGGAAAACCTGAGCCTTTACATAGTGCAGGGAGAGTACAATGGTACAGTACAACGGTGCAGTCCCTTTGAAGAACAGCCTGAGGGAGACTTAAACCATTAAATATACACTATCTTCTCCCTCCTTGATCTACATCCAAGAGAAATAAAAGCGTATGTCCATACACAACTTTTATGAGGGTTCATCATTTGTACTTGTCAAAACAAGGAAATGACCCAGATATTCAAAATAGTTCGTAGAAAAGCAAACTGTATATATTCATACAATGAAACATCCCACAGCAATAAAAAAAAAGTGGCCTCTTGGTATGTACCACATGAGGAAATGTCAAAACAAGTAGGCTTGTTGACAAAAAAAGTACATCCTGTATAATCATAATGACATGAAATCCTAGAAAATGTGCACTGGTCTATAGTGATAGAAAAGAGACCAGTGGGTGTTTGGGAATGAGGAAGAGGATAGAAAGAAGTGAGTAGAAGGAAGCACAAAGGAAGGAGAAAATGTTTGAGAGGAATGAAAACCCCCATCTGCATGGCTGCGTTAGTGTCACACGTACACAGGAATATAAGTACTTTGCGAGGTTGTGCATTGTAAATGCCATTTGTGCGTCAGGAGGCTTTGTATTTGGGGTCAGCATGAGTAGTTGCCCCCAAATTTTCTTGCCAACCCTCCCACATCACACTTGGCATTCTTGAGGACGTGGCTTCGGGGAAGCCAGCAGGATAGAAAGCACCATCCCTCATCTTTGGTGAGGCAGGAGGTATCTGGCGATTAGACGTGCACAAACCAGGATGCTTTGAAAGTGTGGTGTTCAGACTGAGACGTCTTGCTTTTCGAACATTTATCAGATGCCCCCACCCACCATTGCTTTTAGCTTGACAGCCTTCCTAAAGCTGTGAGCCTAGGCTCCTGACGGCATGAGGACTGTGTGAAGACATTTGAGGCTCTCTTACCAACTAAGGACCTTGCCACAGTAGAAATGGTCCTCCTTACTACACAGGACACGGGTAAATGTAGAAGGAAGTGGTTTTCTGGGGCTGTGTGTGTGTGAGTCGGTGATAAAACACTCGTATATCAAGTCTAAGGCCCTGGGTTTACTCCCTAACACCACCAAAAAAGTTGTTTTTTAAGACAGCCTACATCTGAAACTTCTCAGATTGCCATGTTGTGTTGTGATTGCTTCTTTATTTTGAAATCAGAATTCAGAAAAGAGTTCTTTTACTTGGGAATTCAGGTCAGTTAGTTTTTGTTTAGTTTCTTTTAACTGTAGAAGTTCCCTCTGAATGGCAGCTCAGAGGAAACAGACTGCCAGATGTGTACAGACTCATGAAGCTGACCAAGCTCAAGAAAGACCAGAAAGAAGTCAACAAGGTGGGTGGGATGGTGAGCTCAGGTACTAAGGGATGCCCTCTGCTTGTGCTCAGGTGTGGGTGAATGCAGTCCTCTCAGCAACACTTCTAACTGCACATCAACTGGGAAGCAGAATCTTTTAAAATGATTCTGAATTTTTCTATTTTCACCCTAGCAGGGAGTTCATAACTTACAGTCATCAAACAGGCCAAATCTCCCCCATCCCTGCATATGAACCTGTAACATTGAGATGAAGACACTACTTTGCATCATGATATGAGGATTAAGCACAATAAACAAAATAATGCTGCTTCTCATAGTCATTGCACTTAGTCCAGCAATTTCCTAAAGCGGGGATGTGAAAATCGTGACTGTGGCATGCAGCCACACTGGAGACATGGTGAGCAGGGACAAGTGCTGTGTTTTATGATGACGTAGTTTGCAGTTACGGTTGCATCACTAACACCCTAACTATGCTGATTCGTTCACCTCGTAAGAAGCAAGGGGGCAGAAATGAACTTGTGACCTTACTCTTTGGCATCTCACCAAACACCTACTTTTTTTTTTAGATTCTGCATCTTCAAGTCTAACTATAAACAGAATGATCAGAAACATTTTACCATCCTGTTAAGGGTCCAGTTGAGTGTCAGAAGTGGCATGTTATGTCATGTCATGACATGTCAAAGTGGCACGTCATGTCACTGTGGAGCTTTGCTTTATTGTCAGTGTCTTAACAGACAAGGGAAATAACACTCCGGTTGTTCTACCTGTGGGTTATACCTGAGGCAGTGTAAGAGCAGAAGACTCAGGGCCTGGCTTACTCACTTGTTTCTTGTGTCAGTGACTGACCCAGATGGCTGGCAGTGTGCCTTCTTCCCTTATCTGGCTGGCCTTTCAAATTCTCTTTGGCCACTGCATGAAGAATAGACTGCAGAGGGTAAAAGGTGAAGCTAGAAACATGATGAGAAGCTGATGAATAATTCACTCAAGAAACAACTGTGACTTAGGCCAGACAAGGTAGTCCTGCATATGTAAGAAAGGGTCCCATTGGAACACATATTGGTGGTACTCTCATCAATAAGACATACTGAGTCATGTGAGAGAAATGAATAAAGAGAAAGACAAATGGAGGGTGATTCTTACATATTACCCAGAGTATTGGATAAAAAGTGGCACTATTTGCTGAAGAAGGAAGATGGAAAGATGTGGATTTCTTAGTATATCCTGTTAAGACTACCACCAATATATATTCCAAGTGGGGACTCCTTACATCCACAGGGGTACCATGTTTGGTCTAAGTCACCGTTGTTTCTTAAATGAATCATTCATCAGCTTCTCATCCTATTTCTATATGGAGTGGTAGCATATAGGACTGAGGGGTTGTCTTCTTACATATGACATGCTTTGACTCATTTAAGTAGACGGTAGGTTCAAGGAAATGGGAAGAACCAAGGGAAAGATGCCTCTTCTAGTGGAGAACTGAGTATCTGTAGATTGATTGCAGAGCTATGCTGAATTTGAAGGTAGTAAGAGACATCCCTGACCTCGAATTGCTGTTTGGAGAATGGAAGCTGAGATCTCAGCCAAGGGGAATAAGGTGTAGATACTTAGATATGGGTAGTTGGAAAGCAATACAGCCCAAAGCCCAAGTTCTGAGGTAAAATTACAAGAATCTACTGGGGTCTCATACTTTTTACTAGTGTAGTTTTTCTCTTTGTCACCTGTGCTTACAGCACCAATATAATTGCTGTTTCTCTAACACAGTTGTGAATACAAGCCCCAAAATCGAGGATGTAAATGTGAGTTTCCTCCAACGGCACTTGAACAGAAGCTAAACAACCTTGAGATCCTTCACGCTCTGTGGCACAGGCACAGATTTATAAGAGCACTGGAGAATACGACCCTAAGTGCTCAGCCTTAATGTATCAGGCAGCAGGCACACGTAGGGTAAAAACACTACATACTTACGCATTTGGTAAATATGCTCTTTTCCAAAGTTTAGCTATAGATCGCACTTGAAATACAACGATGCTGTATCTATGTGTGAGAGAATAGTGAGGGACCCAGTCTACCTTCTTTTTTCTTTTTTCTTTTTTGAGACAGGGATTCTATGTGTAGCTTTAGAGCCTGTCCTGTAACTCATTCTGTAGACCAGGCTGGCCTCAAACTTACAGAGATCTGCCTGCCTCTGCCTTCTGAGTGCTGGGATTAAAGGCGTGGGCCACCATGCTCAGCTTCCAGTCTGCCTTCTAAGGAACCATTTGTCTTCCCTGGTGTGTGGGGGGTTGTTGATTCAGTGTTGGAGTTATCTTGTGGGATGGATGGTTTATTTGCAAGGGTAAAGTTGGTATAGTTTGGGTGGGCACAGAATTGCTAGCAAGTCTTCTTGGGGAAAATACCCCTTGTTATTATTACTTGAGGAAAGACATGTTTCCTGAGATTTGTGAACAGCCATCTATAGAGCATGTAGCCTGGACCAGGAACCATATCAAATATGTTGTTATAAGTGCTGCTTTATTTCAAACTCACACTAAACCGTCTTTATTATGGTTGAACAGATGAGGATACTGAGGATCATCAAGGTGAATCTGACTGGCCAAGATTCTACAACCAGGATAACAGAGGTGGACTTCACAGTCAGATTCTGAATTTTTAGTTGGCATTTTGTTTTGTTTTCACTCTCCTCACATGCTTCCTGGGTGTATGATTTTAATCTACTGTCTATTTAATATTCCCTGTAGCAAGAACTCTCCAGCCTTATAAGGCTGTACTTCCCCCCAAGCACTCAAATAAAATGATACTGTGCCTGCACAGCTTTCCATGGGAAGTCTGGACCCATCACAAATTTTCCAAAAAATCTCAAGGTTAGGGGAGAACTAGCCCTTTCATCCCCCCTCATTCCGAGTTCACCTCCCTGTTTTCTTATCACCTGCCCCCTTGAATAAAATAATTACCACAACATTCCATGTAAAGCCTCAGTCTACATGTGCACCTTGCTCTTCCACACTTCTGCTCAATGTCACTTCTCTACATGTCAGCTGGATTCTTCGAGAAGCTGATCCTGAGACAGGATAAGGTATGAAAGAAACTTATTGAGAAGGGGAAAGGACATTACCAAAATACACAAAAGTGCAAGGAAGTAGAGATTGGGTGAGGAAACTTCAATGAAAATCTAACAACATTTGCCCTAGAAAGAGTAGCAAAGGACCACCTTCCCCAGCAGACATTTGAGCAGTACATCAGGTGGAGAAGTGAACCAAGGTGATGATATATCTATGGACTCATGAACACTAGTGAATTGTCTCTCTGCTTGTTCGGGGTCTTGTGAGGAAAAAAGACAGAGGGATCAGAGCCAAGGGGTTCTAGGGAAGAAGCATATGGATGGACATTTGGGAGTGGGTGTAAAGTGTGAAGATGTGTGTGTCATATCCTAGTATTCCCAGAAGCTTCCACCCCCAAATCACTTGGCCTGTTGTGTGAGGTAGACCTTGTCTGCAATTACCACAGCACTAGCACAAAGGACACAAGAATGGGATGGCCACAGTGGTGGACATAGAGGCCACATACAGGGACAACGGCATTGGCTTCTACTTTCCACGGCTGATTAAGATATTGCCACCTCTGAGTATCCAGCATGTGAGCAGTGAAGACCAGTGCTGAGCATCATGTGACATTCTTCAAGGAGATCAACAAGTCATTGGATAAGTTGGCAACATTTCATTCTGAATGTTTTGTCCTCACAAGAACAGACTCTGATTCTAGCTACAGATTTCTCTTTCACAGTGCTCAATCTATAGACAAAGAGTCCACATACTATAACATCTATTTAGAGAGTTATTCTAGGTGGGAAAAGAAAATGAGGAAATAGGCCCATAAAATGGGTTTAACTATCTGTCTAGTGCATCTCTCAATCACATCTCCTTGAGCCTCTGCCTAGTTCATGAGTTACTTGTTCTTAATACATGTTAAGATCATCCTTCTTATAGATTCACACCTCTGCATTTAGATAAGAACCCTACCATTTATTGTCTGGGATCATTTCAAGAGCCTCCAAATGGGCTTTCCTACCTCACAACCATACTCCTATCTACTTTATCTATTTTAGCCCCAAACCTCATATGAAATGGAGGTCCCTTAAATAGTTAATGCTGCTTATCTTCCAGACCTCAGCTCATCTCCAACTGTTCCATTGCTTGTGCCATGGATTCCAATGTTGGTGAACTGTAATGGTTAATAATGTCAGCTTGACTAAATTGAGAGATGCCTAATGCCTAAGGGATCAGTTTAGCACACCTATAAGTATATCTGTAGGGGGAATTTTTAGAGATAATTAGTTCATGATAGCTCTGACTAAATGAATGGATAGCTTAACTACCGGGAGATGGTATAACTCTGCAAGTTGAAGGAAGTAGGTCTATGTGGGTGTGTCTTTGGGGAACTATATCTTGGTCTCTCATTATTACTCTGCATTGATTCCTGTATGCCATAATGTATCCTGTCCTGGTTCACTACCCTCAGTGACCATGGTGGACTGAAACCCTTGAATTTGTGAACTAAAAATAAATCCTTATTCTTAGTTGCTTCTGACAGACATTTTGTCATAGGAGTAAGACGATATAACTTGCACATTAACAAGGGGGTGTCCTTATTGGTCAAACACATTAATTTTCATAAAATTCAGGAGTCAGATGGGCAACTTAATAAGATCTTATATTAAAACAGAAAGTAAACAAAGAGCTGTACGGGCAGTAAGTATTTATTGATGCAGTAGTGACATGACCATTAGGGGTGTAATCAATGGCTTTCAGATTGGATCTGAGGCCCACTCCAGAGGAGAAAATTCGTGTTTAGTACTCTAGTTGGTCTAATGCCTGTGTCTGGGGAGAACATAGGCCCTACCAGGGGGGCTATTACTATTGTTTTGCTAAATAGACATGCTGTGCCTATCAAATCGCCTTCTGAAAACACCTCTGGTGTCTATGAGTCTAAAAATCTAAGCATGTCCTCAGACAAAATCCAGTGCCTACAACAGAGATTTCTCTACCTTGCTGTAATCCTCATAACCAATTGGATGTTTCTACCAATATCTGAAAAATGCCTTGATTTATGACTTTGTTCTGATACAGTGAAAATTCATATAAGAACCCTGAAGTTACCTCAATCTATATTCCTAAGCCATGGTCAGTCATATTTTACTGTAGAGTAAGCTCTAAACTTTTATTCCCTTGAAGGTAAAAGCTGTATTTTCTGTGTCAACAGTGTGGAAGCACATAGGCCCTCTCGCTTGCCCTAGGCATCTCTCCATCTGGGTGTTCTTGAATGAATGCCGTTATAATAAACTGGCATTTGTACAGAAACCACTTTCCTGGGTTTTGTAACATGTTCTTGTGAGATTGTACCCTTAATTTGTGGAGCCTACATTAACTCTTGGTTCATAATTATAGGACACAGATGGTATCTACAGAATTACTTACTGTGAGGGAAAGTCCCACACACTTATTGTCAAAGCATTATATGTAAGCAAACATAAATACCTCTTTTTCTTTTAGGGGTTGTGACCTGGGAAGGTGTAGGAGAGCACCATGTGTATTTTCCAGAGAATGAGCTAGAAGTTGGATCTATCTGTGGATTAATATACAAAAGGCAAAAATTAAAGCTGCTCACATAAGATTAGTATATTTATATTTAATTATATACTTTCTACAAAATTTATTGTATTAGTTTTCTATTGCTCTTTTTTAACAATATAATATTTTTATTGATTATTTGCAATTTTCACACAATGCACCCTGATCACATTCACTTCCCAGAGTTCCCAGGTCCACCCCCCTGCTCCCTTGTGACCGCCTCCAAAGAAAAGAAGAAGAAAAGAAAAAGAAAAAGAAAAAAACAGCAACTTCAATTTGTGTTGCCCATGTAGTCACTGGAGCATGGTCAAACTCCCAGTGACCAGCCCCTTAAAGCAAACTGGCTGGGCGGTGGTGGCCCACGCCTTTAATCCCAGCACTCGGGAGGCAGAGCCAGGTGGATCTCTGTGAGTTCGAGGCCAGCCTGGTCTACAGAGTGAGATCCAGGAAAGGCGCAAAGCTACACAGAGAAACCCTGTCTCGAAAAAACCAAAAAAAAAAAAAAAAAGCAAACTGAGTCCTTTTCCATCCCACCCCTGCCAGAAGCCATCAGCTGTGAAAAGCTACACTCCAGGATCCCAATTTTAAAGTTTTCTTCAATGGCTCCACATTGTTTCTTTTTTGAGGGGGTTGTAGTGGAGAGAGGTTATCACAGAAGGTTTCTATGTCTTTCATTCTCAATTTTGAGTCTGCAGTCATCAATACCACTGCAAAAGAGAGCTTCCTTGTACTTTACAGTCCGTGGCAGCAGGGATTATGGACTTCAATAGACCATGGACACCATCATGGCCTTTGGTGGCAGTACAGGCTATAGACATCAACATGGATTCAGGTGGCAGCACAGACCACAGGCATCCATGTGGCCTTCAGTGATAACATGGACTATGGACATCAACATGACCTCCTGCAGGAAGGAGTACAGACCACAGACAAGCACACCGGTCCTGGCTGAGCAGGATCATGAACACCAACATGGCTCTTGGCAGCAGCATGGGCTCAGGAGGCAGTACAGGCCACACATATCAAACATGGACCCTGCCAGCATCATAGACCATGGACATCAACATGACCTCTAGTGGCAGCCTAAACCATGGATGTCTACATGGCTCCTGGCTGTAGCAGTATCATGGACACCAACATGTCTCTTGGCAGCAGCATGGACCACAGACATCAATGTGGCTTCAGGTGGCTTCACAGACCATGCACATCAACTGGTTCCAAGCGACAATACAGCCCATAACTGTACATATACATATACAGCCCAATACAGAGATAACATGGTTTCAGGTGGCAGCACAGACCGTGGACATCCACATTGTCATCGGTGGTAATACGAACCATGGACATCAACATGACCTCCTGCAGGAGCACAGACCACAGTCATCTACATGGTCCTCGGCTACAGCAGGACCCAAGACACCAACATGGCAGCATGAACAGTGGACCTCAACATGGCCTCTGGTGGCAGTACTGAGCATGGACATCTATATGGACCTCGAGCATCAACAAAGCCTGGGGCAGCAGCATAGACCACAGACACCAGCACATCTCCTGGCTGTAGTGTGGATCAGAGATACCAACATGGTCTTGGGGGCAGCATAGAGCTTGGAGGTCTTTCAAGGAGGCCAAATCCTGAAAATGAACTGTTCATCTCAGACATGCTGTCTTTGCTCAGAGCCAGGGGTTCATGTGGCTGGGCAACATGCTCAGGGGCAGTGCCTACAAAAGCCCCAGGCTGCTGCACACCACCCTGCCAGCCCTACTTGGCAACGGCATGTTCTCCCATCCATCACAGCCTTCTCCCATACCTATCACCTCTGTCAAGTCTCTAGCTCTGCCTCTCTCCACTACATGCCCACTGCTCCATTCCTCCATCTTTCCTACTTTTCCATTGCATATTTATTCATCAAAGTGAAATGGCAAACTACGCATGCCACATAGTATATTTTTTGTTTAGCTTTACATTCAAAAACTCATTGCAACGGGTCATTGGTCTGGCTCAAGGTCTCTGGTTTCTGAAGCACCATAACTACTGGACCATGGCCCAGACTCGTCTTTGATAGCCTACTGTTGCCCAGAGTCAGGGTGATTTTTCGGTTGAGCAGGGCATCCGAGAGCAGGATCAGCTCCAGCTCCAAGCCACCACACACCTACCTGCCTGTGGCGCTGGCTGCCCAGAGGCTCACCGTTGTGTTTGCAGCTTGTGGGCAGTGCCTGGAACCCATTCTTCCCAGCAGGGGGAGCAGCTGAGCTATTGCTGCCATGACCCCATCCTGTCCTCTGTCTTTGATGCCAGGAACCTCCCACCTTCTATTCCCCCATCTCCCCAACTGCCATCCCCCCCCCCCCCGTGGGCATCAGGCAGCACCGTGGCCTGTGCTCTCCTTCCAACAGGGTGAGCAGCAGCGGTGGCTCCATGCTACAGGCTGGCATTCATTAATGCCGCGTTCTTGGTCCGCTGGGCCATGCTCTCCCATATCTCTCTCATATCGTTCCCCACCACGTCTCTAGTTTCGCCTTCTCAGCCAAGTACATCTATCTGCTCCACTGTCTTTCCTTCCAATTTTGTGAAACCACTTTTTAAAAGCATCCTCCCATCAAGTCTGCCTTTTTTTTAAAAAAGTTGTTCTAGATATATGCAGGCTCTGTAAACTCCTTCTCGAAGGAGGGCAGCACTATGGCTCAGGCTTGGGTTTCACAGGCGAAGTGGGGAGCGGGTACTGGCTTGGCAGTGGCATCTCTCATCCATGCACCAAGCCCCGAATGGCTGCTGTGGCCTGTTGCAGGATACCCAGAGCTAGTCTCCACCTCTAGCCTGTCAGAGGAGCTGTGTGTGCCATGGCCATCTTGGCTCTGTCCCCTCTCTTCTATTGCTCATTTAAGAAATTACCAGTTTGTGGCTTACAATAATATAAATCTACTATCTTATAGCTTTGGAGATTGTAAGTCTGAACCGGGTCTCAAGGTATGAGCTCGGCTACATTCCTTGATGGAGTGCTAGGGCAGAATTCATTTTCTTACCTTTTAAAGTTGATCGAATCTGCCCTCATTCCTTGACTAGAAGGTCCCTGAGATGGCCAGTCTTGGTTGTCAACTTGACCAGACCTGGAATCAACTAAAATGCAAGCTTCTGGGCACTGCCATGAAGAATTTTTTTTGGGTAAAATTATATGCACTTCTTTAATCCCAGCACTCGGGAGGCAGAACCAGGTGGATCTCTGTGAGTTCAAGGCCAGTCTGGTCTACAGAGTGAGATCCAGGACAGGCACTAAAACAATACAGAGAAACCCTGTCTTGAAAAACCAAACAACAACAACAACAAAATCTTTTGAAATGTATATATATATATTCACCTTAAGTGTGGGCGGCGCCCTCTAGCGGCAGCCCAGACAGAAGGACATGGAAGAAGCAAAGCTGTGCCTTCTTGTCCTCACTCTCGCTGACAAGCCCAGCCATGCTACTGTCGCTGAATTCCTTCACTGATGTTAGAACTAGCTTCTTGGGGTCCCGATATTGACTGAAGACTCTTCCAGAATCTCTCCTGGAGATCTTTCAGAATCCTCCAGGCCTTTCTTGCCAGATTAGGACCGCTGAGACACCTATCCTTGTGAATTGAGCAACTGCTGGATTCCTGGCTGCTCCAGTGTGAGACAGCCATTGTTGAATTACCTGGATCTTATTGTGTAATCCAATCCAATAAATCCCTTCTTAATGTAAGGAATTTTATATCTTATCACTTCTGTCCTTCTAGAGAACCCTAATACGACCCCTTCCAATTTCATAGCCAGTGATAGCCAATTGATACCACTTCTCTGGTTTAACTCATCTGTCTCCCTTCCTCCAATTTGAAGACTTCTGTGGAGGTCCAGGATACTTTCTATGTTACTTGCATTTTTTTTTTTTTTTGTGACCACAATACCTGGCAGAGAGCAGTCAATATAAGGAAGGG